GTCGCCAATGGGCATTGGCCAGTGGATGGAATTCGGAGGAGGCCTAATCTGTGGGATCTAATCGGTCTATTGGAGGTAATTGGCAGCAGGCGGTCTCTCAAGTACCCAGGTCCAATACCATGAAGAGCTTTATAAGTGACAACTAGCGCCTTGAAGCGTATCCGAAGACCAATAGGCAGCCAGTGCAGCTCGCGGAGGATAGGTGTTACGAATGCTCCGAAGACTACCCAAAAGTGATCATGCTGGTTCAGGAACTCTGGGAGTTCTGATAAAAAGGACCATAGCTCCCCACCCCTGAAGTAAATCATAAGAATAACTAAAGGAACTGGGTACGTTTAGGCTAAAGAAAAGGAAAAGGAGAGGTAATTCCAATATTGTGTTTGAGAAATAGGATAAAATAGGATAAAAACGACGTGTGGAAGTTTTAGAGAGGAAAATCCAAACTTGAAATAAGAAGGAATTTCCTGAGAGACATTAGCTAGTAGAACACCCTGTCTTCTGAGGGCTCCATCAAACAAGGCTTTAAAATAAAGATTGGATGATCATTTGTCTGAGTTGGCATTCGGTTTCTTGCCCTGGGAAAATAATTGGGCTAGAAGCCTTCCATAGTCCTTTCAAGCACCATGATTCTGTGACTCTATGATTCTACGTATTGTGAGAACAGTATCTCAATTCCTCCCTCTCGTTTTCCCTACAAACATCCAGACTGATGCAATCTATAAATCGTGGCTGGAGACCAGAAGGGAGGGAACACCTCCAGAAGATGTAGGAATATATACTAAAACTGCATAAATGATACAGGTAGTCCTCAACTTACGACCACAGCTGAGGCCAACATTTCTGTCGCTAAGCAGGAGAGTTGTTAAGTGGGTTATGCCCCATTTTACCACTTGTCTTGCCACCGTTGTTAAGTGAATCCCTGCAGCTGATAAATCGGTAACACGACTGTTCAATGAATCCGGCTTCCCCCATGCCCTTCGCTTGTCAGAATGTTCACCAAAGGTGATCACATGACCCTGGGTTCCTGCCACCGTCATAAATATGAGTCAAGCATTTGAATTTTGATCATCACGTGACCATGGAGATGCTGCAACGGTCATAAGTATGGGAGAAAAGGTGGTACCGTATTTTTCAGAGTATAAGACGCACCTTTTTCTCTCAAAAAAGAGGGTGAAAATCTGGGTGCATCTTATACACTGATATTGGCCTCCAGAAACCCCGCCCCCTTTGGAAAAATGGCCGTACATAGCCTTTAGGAGGCTTCCAGAGTGCTCCTGGGGGCTGGGGAGGGCAGAAATGAACAGAAAATGGGCTGGTTTTTGCTTATTTTTGCCCCCCCAGCCCACGGGAGCACTCTGGAAGCCTCCTAAAAGCTATGCATACCCTTTTTTTTTGACAAAAACAGGCCGTTTTGGGGAGGTCTGCAGAGTGCAAAAACTTTTTTTTTAATTTGCCTCTTCAAAATCTTGGTGAGTCTTGTACTCCAAAAAATACTTTTTCCAGTGCCGTTGTAACTTTGAATGGTCACTAAATGAACAGTTTTAAGTCGAGGGCTACCTGTATAACTGTAGAACTGGGCTTTTCAAGAAAGAAGGTGTTAGCACAAGAGACGTACCCGCCATTTGGAGCACCCAACGCTTCTGCCCCTCAATTGACTCCCTTATTCCACATCACATGAAGCTGACTCTGCTTCTTCAGATGCCTGCTCCTCCCTCACCCCATCCTCTACCCCGCTGTCCTCTGTTTGCTGGGGGCTGCCAAAGTCTTCCTTGCTGGCATCTTCCTTCAACACGGCCACCGTGGCGTAGTCGCTGCTGAGAACGTCTGCGTTGATTCCGCCATCACATTGGCCCCTGCTGGAGGCCGGAAGGTTCTGTAATTCGGCATAATGCACATCGGCTTCGTAGGGGTTTTCGGCAGCACTCTGGGGAATTTGTAAAGGATGGAGCGATAGGTTGGCTATGGAGGTTCTCAATCATCCAAGTCATGGTTGTCCCAAAGGTGCTTTTTTTCAAGAGGCAACTGGACTTTCTGGCCTCTTGAAGAAAGGACCTTTAGAAGATTATTGCCGCTGAGTTCATCGATTCCCCCTCTGAACCCTTGCAGGAACTTCCAAAGAGATGGCCGGAAAAATCAAAATGGCAACCCAGGATGTACAATTGAAACTCTGTTTGTTTTTTGTTATCTGCCTCTGCGCACCATTCGTGGGAGGCTTCGTCTGCCTCATTCGGGCAGCAGAGAACGAAAGGAGATAGGCAAGCGCAAAGGAGCCTTCAGCCTCCTTCATTCACATGTTCGGGCAATAGGGGAGAGGGCTTTCTTGCACGCCTTTGGAGAAAGAAAGAAAGAAAGAAAGAAAGAAAGAAAGAAAGAAAGAAAGGAAGGAAGGAAGGAAGGAAGGAAGGAAGGAAGGAAGGAAGGAAGAAGGTGTGCGAGGAAGCCCCGAACGTTTGAATGAAGGAGGCTGCAGGCTCCTTTTCCCTCGGCTATGCGATCTCCTTCGGTTCTCTGCTACCCGAACGAGTGAATGAGGCAGACGGAGATTGAAAGGAGATCGCGTCGGGCAGGGGGAGCGAGCGAGGAGGGGTAGGCAGGACGGAGCATTCCAGCTAGGTGCCACCAGATGAACCGGTTCTAAAACGTACACTCAACTTCACGAACCTATTAGAACCGGCTGAAACCCACCCCTGCTGCCTACACGTCAAAGGCGTGGCACGACAAAACCGCGGTCCACTAAAGCGCGCCCGATTAAAGCGCGTACCTGACGTCATCAGCAGCGCG